GGGGGCTAGTGGCGGGGGGGGGGGGGGGGGGGGGGATGTCAACATCTGCAAAGTATTTATAATGTCAAACACAAATATGATCTGATCTTCTACATAGTGACAAAGTGTTGTGCGAGTGAACTACATTCCCATGGCATTCAAAGTTCATCGTCGATACTGGTAGATTGAAGGTGAATGACCCATTTCTCTGAGACATTATCATACATGCAAGATTGTATACGAAAAGTAAAGTAAGGCCTTAAAAGCATTTCTTTCTCAGGAAAATTCGAATAAGGAGATATATCTATTGCATCGTATCGAGGGATGATATCGATCTCTAAAATGACTCTGTCACCGAAAAGCTTTGCTATAGATAGATCGCGACTCGTTGAAGTGAATGCAGGAAAAACAAAGTCGTCACTGGTTTGTTCTAATTCTCGATATTCTTCGATCATATCTTCGTTTACACACAGCGAACGGTAAACCGTTATTTTTGTTTCAGATCCATTTTCGGGAAATTCACTGAGAAGAAAAGCAAATGGACCGAGAGTTTTGATTTTTTCCCGTATAAATTTTGGCTTTTCTTTCTCACCGTCAAATCGCATGAATTCGTTCAGTTTACCAAAGAGAAAAGTAGCTCGTGTGTACAAAGCAGCACATTTGGCTGTCACTTGTTTGAAAGTACCATCTTTCACGCTGAGTAATTCGTCTGCCATCTCTCTACCATGTCGACCTCCTTCAATCTCGAGACCTTTAGCTGCTGCTACAACCATTCGTCGGCGAGTATTCGGCTCTTGTAATTCCGAAGAGCTTACATGAAAATATTCGCAAATACTGAATAAGAAACAATCAATATAATTTTCCCTCCACCGACCGAAAGATTTCAAAGGGAACAGAGAAGTAGGTTGCAGTCGTTGATTTTGTTGCTGAGTTCCTGGATTCGCTTGTGGTTCTGTTTCAAATGAAGTTCGTTTCACCATACGTTCCCTTTTATCGTTCCAATTCGAGATATGCATGAAAAGACTGAGGTCAATACGATAATCGTTGAAAATGGCGGCTTTTTCCTTCTTTTGAAAACTTGCTTCAATTTGTGCTGTTTCATCGGCAGAATAAGGAGTCCAGTTATCACTTTCCATTACATCTTCTTGGGGAAAGTACCAAAGATCGTTCTTATTTGTCTTCCAGAGCCATATAGCGGAAGAAATCACGGAATTTTCTCTCGTCATTTACTGAATAGTGTGAAGGTACAGGTATGCAATGAAAATAAACTATAACGTGCCAGTATTTTATCTTTTATATGGACATCAAATTGGAAAAAGCCATGCATCATTACAGATAAGAACTTAAAAACAGATAAGCAAAACGTGTTTTTTACTCTGAAGAGAGATGATTTTCTTCGTTGTAGATATGCATCTTCACGCAATCCGTAGAATGTGTAAAACCAGTCATCTTAACAACATTCTTTCTATCGACGGAAATTGCCGAGTGAAAGGAGAGAACATAAAAGAAAAAGAAAGTTTTCGCTGTCTCTTTCCATCTTTCGTTTTATATATCTTTCTTTTTAAAGCATTTATTTAAAAAGTAACTTCTAACATATAACAGTTAGCTGAAGGGTTAAGATAAAGGTGGTACTATTCGAATCGATTGACTAGGATGCACTGCTTAGTCGTTGTTCCTGAAGCTATATCGAGTCAACTATGCATTTCTTTCACTGAACTAAATCGACGAACCATTGTTCATAGTGATTTCGCCATATATTCCGGCGAGTTTATATTCGGCTGAATGTTTTCATCGTAAACTAAAACTCTATTGGAAATATACTGGTGTTGAAATTGATGAAAGCAGAAGATGAATGTAACACAATACGAAATCGGTGGTGCTATGAGTTCAATCAAACGCTAAGACAAGAATTGCTCGATCGTGCTGAACAGAATTAGTCTCAAATCGTTATTGCTGATGTTTGCAATGGGGAGAAAGCGATAGACTTGGTTGATCAAGTTCAAGCGTAGGTCTATCATCCGATAGCACAATAGATGACAGAAACTAGCTGAATTTACAATTTTGATGTTTCTCTAACATCATTTGCACAATACGAGAGTGCTTTCTATTCGAGTCATCAAAATCAATTTGATCTTCTATTAGATAGTCGTGCAAGTTACGCAAAAGAAGCATTACAATCGCTTGTCAAATCTAATCTATGATTTTTTTTACGTACGTCATCGAGTGGAGTTGTGTTTACTGATTTTTATTATAGGAAGACGACCACATAAGCCGCTTTTCAAGCATGTAATGCAGTAAGGAGAGTATTTTCACCACTGCTTAAAACATTAAACGAGCTGTATCGCATGTTTTCATACTAAAACTGCAGCTGTAAAATAATTCAGAGAAAAAATGATAACAGACGATGTATAAAAAGAAGAAGAATTAAGTGAAGACGCGGTGAACTCAGCGGGCGTTTTATAAACTTAAAATAAGAGCTGTTGAACGTTACTGCTAAAATAATAAGCTTAACGTCTAAAACAGACTTTAATTTTGTTCAGCAAAAACTCCTTCAGCTCATGGTTATGTATGAACAAATTTGTAATAATACCAACTACACATATTTCACTGAATAGAATTGTTACAGCTGTGATGAATGTATTGACGTTTACCAGTTGAAGGAAAATATCAACGATGAAAACAGGAGACCATCCTCCAATGAACATCGCAAACATAAAAATCATTTGTCGTAGTAAGGAAATCTCTCGTCGACTAATCTTCGGTGCTTGCTGTCGATTTTCCTGTTGAGTAGTAATTCTACTTGCCCATGCACTTGGATTTTGCGGTTNGTTGTACCTTGACAAATTGGTATTGAGATAAATAATTCAATCGGAAGGCAAACTCACTTGAAGTATATGTCGCTAAAGACGAACGCGTGTCCGTTTATTAAATAAAAATAATACTAAGATAGAATAGAACTTACTGCTTGTTGTACTCTGTGTAGAAGTTGTTGTACCTTTATTTATTGAATGGCTGATGAAATTGAGAACGAGTAGAATAAAAGAATCGCTCACTTGTTATTACTGTAGCTGAAATTAAAGAAAAAGAGCACTCTCGAACATTTTCAGCTTATTTTCCCTACTCGTTTCCGTCGTGGTGCTCGTGTCTGTTGTGGTGCTAGTGTCTGTTGTAGCTATTTGAAAAAAATCATAAACTACAAGGAACGAAGCGTTAATTCTCACTCGTTGTTGCTAGTGATGAGGTAGTAGAAGAACTTGTTACTGTTGTTGTTGTTGCTAATTAAAGAAAAACAACAACAACAAACAATCATGTCATCGTCCAGTATGTAATTTACTGTGTGTTGTAACGGTTGTTGTCGAAGGTTGATTCTCTATATGCAAATTATCCCGTATGGAGAATTTATAGATGAGAAATTTAGTTGAAATACATACTTTGAAGAAGTCCAAGGAGTAAAGCAAGTAATAACCCGAGAAGGAAAAGAACTCCGAGACAACAGGACAAGAGTAGAACAGCACGACGCAGATTGAATTTCTCTCGTTGCTTTTTTTCGTTGTTTGAAGCATGTTTAGGTTTGAAAAAGGAACCGAAGCTATCTCGCGATGTTGATGAAGCAAATTGTGTCAGCTAAAGAACCGATAACAGACAATCATACTTATAAATTCCAAATTAGAACATGAGTTACCGATGAATTTTGCAAATAATCCACTCTTGGAGTCCATGGTGATGATCGACGATGTGAAATACGTTGAGGATATCTTTTCGGTAGTGGAGGACGTTCATAATTGTATTGGTGGACTGTAGGATACTCAGAAATTCGTCGAAATTGATTTGGATTTGCTCGCCATGGATGAGATGATTGGGTGTGAGATAGGAGATTGGTGTTTATCATGATTTTGTTTCGAGATGAAGAATACTTTCATTTTATAGTAGCATTTCTGTTTTTAGATTGAATTATGAAAAACAAAAATGTAGAGAGAAAGTAATTCAATAGGTTTCCCTTATTGTTATTCTATCAAGAGAGTGTCTTTCTTATTAATTATTTTTTGTCCGAATAAGAAATAAATATTGAAATCATCGAAGCAAACAAAAATCTGAACTTTTACTTGTCACCTGCATCCATAATCAAACTTGGATGATACTACAAATAGTCCTTCGAGCATTAATTTTATTTCACTTGAAAAAAAACAGAAGACGAAGAAGTCAAAGAAGTCAATCAAGTTATTTTCTTAGTTTCTATTCTCTAATTCATATGTAACTAATTATTTTATCCGATGCAGCGTCCGTCACTTTCGACACAATTTTTTGCGTTATTTTTTTCTTCATTTCTGCTTGAGCAGCATCGAATTTCTTTTCCATGTAAGCAGCAACGGTTTCAGGAATGTAATGAAGGACGAGATCAACAGTTCCACCGGATTTTCCTTTCTCCGTCGTCAATGAAATGCTAGTTGTATGAAGCCATTGCTTATTGGTATTTGTATCAAATTGACCGCCTTGTTCATCATCAAGTAAACTTAATGATCCCTGTCCCAACAGATCATCTTTATCCGGATCGGAGTCCCATAATTGAATATATAATGTGTCCAGTTTATCCGCAACGGGAAAGATGAGTTTTTCATTGAAGATGGGGTTCGATCCATCATGAATTTGGGTCAGTTGATGAGTTTCCGTTTGGTGATCTTTATTTCTGGATTTTTCCTTCGATTCAAATGAGAGTGGTTCGAGAGAGACAACAGCATATGAATCATTTTCACCAAGCCAATCACCTTTGATAAGATTACTTGCTTTTAAAACTGTAATTGATAGGAGACCTTTAAGTCGTTCAGAACTCATGTCGTTATCACTTTCTCAATGTGAAAGAGCAATCGAGTGCGATTTTTTTCAGGATATAAATGATCGGTTTTCTTTGCATAGGTGAATAATAAGCACTCGAAGCATGCGCACGTGTCTTGTTCTTTAACAAATATATTTAATGATTCAGATTTTCATGTGGGTGAAATATAAAACACAAAAAAGTGATTGTTCTATGTATTCTTTCGAAATGTTAATCACCAAATATTTTATCAGATGCTACGTCTGTCACTTTCGACACAATTTTTTGCGTTAATTTCTTCTTCAAATCGGCTTGAGCAGAATCGAATTTTCTTCCCATGTAAGCAGCGACGGTTTCAGGAATGTAATGAAGGACGAGATCAACAGTTCCACCGGCCTTTCCTTTCTCCGTCGTCAGCGAAACTGTTGTAACGTAAAGCCATTCTTTCTTCACATTGGTGTCAAATTGACCTCCCTGATCATCGTCGAGTAAACTCAATGTCCCTTGTCCTAAAAGATCGTCTTTACCCGGATCGGAATCCCATAATTGAATATATAATGTGTCCAGTTTATCCGCAACGGGAAAGATGAGTTTTTCGTTGAAGATTGGATTCGATCCATCATGAATCTGTGTTAGTTGAGATACTTCACTTTGACGGTCTTTGTTTCTTGATCTTCCTTTGGATTCAGTTGGCAGAGGTTCGAGAGAGAGAACAGCATAACAGTCATTTTCACCAAGCCAATCGCCCTTGATAAGATTGTTTGCTTTTAAAACTGTAATCGATAAAAGACCTTTAAGACGATGAGAAGAACTCATGTTTCAGCTAAATTTGATTCAAAGCAAAAAACAGTCGACTGAAATTTGATTTCTTCTACTAATGACAGCATTTCTTTGCACAAGCACAACCCACATGGTGTTTTTTCTTTGTTCTTTTTCTGTGTAAAAGTGTCGTTTAGTATCATAAATGCAAAGATATTTACTATCACGATCGCGAAAGTTAATTGAAAGACTCTCTATCGCACGCAAATTCGTTGATCAACAGAAAAATCGAATTAATTGATTGCTGTCTATAACTTACATAATGGATGATAACGAGAAGAAAGCAAATACATGGATGATGTTATATCAAGAGCTGTGTTGTTCGTCTTGCTTATTGACAACGTTTTCTCTATTGATTAACCGATAAATCACGATCCGGTCGATATGTTTCACACATAAATTGGTATTAATAATGTTTGAGAATTTTCTTTATAAAATCCATTTTGTTTGTAAATGTGTCAAGGAAATGTTGCAAGGAACTCAAACATTGTCGTCAACAATTTTCTTGTATTTATTGAACATTTTTTTTACCCAAAACGACCTTCGAGAGAATTCTAAATTCAATATTTGATGTTCAAGTTCCTGCGTGACTATATTTTAAAATTGAACAAACTAGAGTTTAACACAAAAGCTGATTACTTTTGATATAGTGTAACAATCAATTTCGTTTCTTCACCATTTTGTTCATTCTGTCATAAGTATCAGACAGATTCTTTGTATATAGTCCAAGTTATAACTCATTCCATCTAACATATTTGGGTTATTCATATAATCGGCCAATGCTTTCTTCTGATTCGGCGTGAAATCTATATCAAAATAATGCATAATTTCTGTTTTTTCTCCAAGAAAATTTGACTTTAATCAAACATATTTTTGTTAATCTATCAAATTCATTAAGTTTATTGTGACAACAAACGATGAGATTTCTGTTGATACATTTTATTCATCAAATGAAAGTATAAATGCAAATTCAACAAATCTCGATTTGATTGAATGAATATCTGTCGACAATGTTTGAACATTTTTACAAGCAAAGCTCGAATTCTTTATTGTTCATCATCTAGCCAACATGAACTGCTGGATCGACATCCACTACACTCGTGAATTCTCGAAGAATCTTTCGTGATGAAACTAATTCAACTTTATCCGTTGCAGATTGTGGAAATAACCGAATACAATCATATAAATTATGTTCATATAGAAGGAAACTAGTTCCTACGAATCAAACGGATGATTTGAATAGTTATCAAATTGAAAAATTTTGATTCAATTATCCATTCTGGAAGTAAGTTGTAGCAAATCAAATCTGATTTTGATTCGTAGCCATCGAAATCAACCAAACTCACTTTTCAATCTCTATGTGAAAGTTTTCGAAGAGCAAGAAGTTTTAGTATTGTTTTTTTTTCTATTTTGTGTAGAATGGATAATAATTCGGAACATGGATGTTGCACGTTGTCAACGTAGAGCTAAAGGAACATCGAGGTCAACAAATGCACCAACTATCTTCATTCTGATACCTGGTGAAAAATAAGCATAGTCCTTATTTTTTCACTAAGCAAATGTTACGAGAGTAAATCGACTTATGCTTGCTGAACTATACCGAAACAAGGTTTGCCGAGACTAGAATTACACGACCATAATCAGAAATTGTCGATCGATGCCAAGTGTTCTTTCATCCTTAGGGTATCTAAAGTAACTATGTGATCACAAAAATGATATGATGAATAAGCGAAACTCGAAATGAAATGGTTGCAGTACAGTTGCTGATGTAGTAGCAGCTTGGTAATGCAAAGTATACCAAAACGGTGTTAAAAAATATCGCATCAGCAATGCTTCTTTCACTATCTGTTGAGTCTTCGAAGAAAAAACTGTTGGATCTTGATCCTAGTTATAATTTCGTTAAAATGATAAGATAGATCAATGATAACACTATACCTTTCAGCGAAGATAGTTATGATTTTCCATGAAGGGATAGAATGCATCTAATTGCATCCATTATGTACACAATTCTTCAGTTCCCAGGATGATGGTTCCTGAAGCAGGATTCCATGAAATCTTCGAAATACCACGGAACCGGCCGTTTCCATGCTGGATTGTTCGGCCTGGGTTATATCGAGTCGAAAACCGCAGATATCGGCACCAACGTGCGTTATACCAAACATATTAAAAATCAGAATAGCTAAAAAACAGATAGGTTACTTCGACTCATCTCGTACTCCTCTAATTCAATGTGTACCCGAAATCGGAAAATACGTATCTTCGTATGGTGCAGAATTATCTCCTATCCAATGCGCAGCATATTGACCGAATTTGACAAATGACGAACGAGACAGAACAAATGACCGTTTAAGATGAATTTCTTTCCATGCACTAAAATGTATGATGAATGTTGAATTTCTCTATGATACATTACAAGAATTACAAGTTCGTAGCTTTTGATTCGAAATAACTAAACATACTGTGTAAGTCATAATGAAACGAAAGACTCTATTGAGCAGATAGACAGATCGTTTTCACACTAAGCGAGCCGATGAGAATGTCTATCGGAACATCTCACCATAATTCAAGTCGAGTTTTGATGAATATTGCTTCTTTCAGACCATCATCATATGGTGGATACGTTCCTGCTGGTTGCATTGAACTGATGCCTGGATCGAGAATATTCACATAACGTTTACCTTACGATTGTACTGAACGAACAAGATCGGCAAGATCATGAAATTTATTTTTGTCATAGGTGGAGTCCAAATGCGACGGCATGGCGTCAATATCAGTCCATTGTACGTCGTACGGAAAATTAGCATCGTGCATTCGCTAATGAAAAGACAATATAACAGATTTCTATAAAAAGTTTTCGTATTATGGTACTTGAGTCACTGCTTGTAATTTTTCGATACTATTGTATTCGAAGCGACATAAATGAAAACCAAGAGACGAATACGGTGGCATGAACGATTTTTAATAAACGAAGAAAAAAAGCGACTGATAAAATGAAAAGTCAAACTCTTCTACCTCCGATGACTTCCAAATACTGATGAATGACACCATGTGCTGTTGATCCAGTAAATAAATGTAGATCAATAACACCACTAAGAGTCTCATAGGTAATGGCTGAAGATCGATGTCCATAGCATTTGAGTTGAGAAGAAAATTCGTTGAAGTATTGCTGTTCATTTCCACATTGATGTGAAACGGATGGACACCTACCGTACAAATTAATGTGTTCCATCGGAGGAAAGTCATACGTCCAAAGTATTCGCCTTTTGCAATCGCTGGTTATGTTAATTAATAACTGTTGCTGATACTCATCTGATCCATATAGATATGGACTGGACAATGAACTGGAAAATCGAATAAATTAATTGGCATATATGAGAGGTGATGCATTGGAATCAAATCTCGAGCAATTACTTTGTTTATAATGAAGAAGCATAATAAATATTTGCTACAAGTATGCTTGAAGGATTACACCGGTGGATCGTCGTTTGACAACAATTGCAAAAGGATTCTGATTAATAAGAACGTCATAGTCGGTGATGTTCATTTTGTTTGGAATAGTAGGTACTGGTGATGAAACTTCAAAACATTTTCTGGTCGAATCATAGATTCGCAGACAAAATCGCTGTGCTGTTCGTAATGGCTGACCACACTGCTACCCTGATAGTTCATAAACAAGCAAGAGTAACACCATATTCCATTTTAGACTGACAAAATATATCATTTTGTGTAGATGACCTTGTCGAAATGGATGGAATATTAGAATTACAAATAAATTAAAGGCAGCCTCGCCTGCAACCAAAATGAAAGTAGAATGGCTCTTTGTTTTATCTTATTCAAATAAAACCTTGTGATAGACGAAAAATGTGCATAGAAGGATTCGGAAAAGGAAAAAAGAAGCCAAACACTGAAATAGATAACCATCAACGCCGACAACAGATCTTGTTAGAACAGAGGCTTCTCTGGAACTCTGCTAACTGGAAGTGGTTTATATTGACTTAGAATAAAAATATATCTTCATGTTTCATGATAAAATTAGTTTGTTCGAGAACACATTCGTGTCGGGCCTAGCATCTAACTGTGTTTTATTGAGAAGATTAAACTAAGTCATGTCAATATTGTTGAAAAGAAAGCGATTTTACTGCCTTAGACATTTTTTATTAAAATTAATGTTGCCCTCAAACAAACAACTGTCCCCTACGTTTATTTCGGTCACAATGCGAAAAAGTACACGACATTCTAATAGAATTTGAAACAGTTCATAGTTGTTCTTATGACATAAACTAATGGGTGACATGCATATTGTTCTTCGCTGAGCATGTTCTATCGTGCATAATAGACATTGCTTGAATCACCGGTTTTACTTTGTTTGTTTTCTGCCAGCCTAGTCGTTGAAGAATGGCGTCATGAGATTTTTGCCAGACCATCTGAAAACGTGTGTCTAACATGATAACTAGAACTCCATCGATACTTGCTTCTAATCCATTTGCTGCAGTGAAAATAAATCTGATCTGATTACCAACAGTATGAATATCAAGAAAAGTCAATAAGACAGATGGCGCCCAAAGAATAAACCATATTGTAAAGAAGATAAGAAAGCGATAGATCAAACGGCGATGATGATTTCGACGTATCATCATTTGTTGAGAGCACGTTTGTTTGACATAGAATAAACTTCGAATCGACGTCATAAAACTAAGGATAATTGGTAAGCAAAAGAAGACGATGACATTCCAAACACGAATCGATAGAGAAGTGTAAACCAATGAACAACTTGATCCCGGTTTTTCGATGACAATAGACCATGCCATTTCATGTTGAATGATCATATTCATGAGAATCAATGCCGGAACTATTATACACATGAACAAAACAAGATACCGATGATCCATATAGATGTTTTTATTTCGAACAATTTGCAAATAACGACAAATGTGTAGCAATGTTAAATAGAACGATTCAAGAATATTGAAATAAAATGCAAAATATGCTTCGAAGTAACAAGAAGCACGCCATGTTGGTGTTGTTGCTGTACTACGAATAACATATTGAACAAGGTATGATAATAAGATAAATATATCGGTAGAAACATAACAGGCTGGGAAGATAAGGCTAAGATCAAGTGGAATTCTATGAAAGAATAGCTGAAACCACAGCAAGGAATGAAGAAATGTACCTAGCAACCCAATTCCTAGAAGTATGCGGTTTTGATATAAAACTGTAGAACTCCATCCAATAGTGCTATTTCCGATCGATTGCTGCATCATCTCTTTAAAATTTGATAAAACTGACTTTGACGCGTTCAGTTAATATACAGCCACACTTTCACCTTTTCATTATTTACCGAGAGCAATACAGACTGGCTGAGCTGTATGCTAATCATTAGATTAAGCCCATCAGAAATTTAAAAATACAATATGGTTGTGAATATATGCTCACAGGGGCGCGTCTTGCCAAGAGATTCTTAGAAGGTCAAAAAAATACGTCGAACATCGACAAAACACGAGAAAAGTTTTTAAATTAACATCAACAACTGATGAAACTGTTTGATCTTCTCACTTCCATCTTTGTCTTCTGCGGACATCACTGTTGTCTTTACTTTTTTAGAGCTATACGTTAAGTCGATGCCGTACGACTGAAAGAATTTCTTTCACTTTTCTTTTCTTTCCTTTTCTTTTCTTTGACCATAATTCAACACTTGGCTAAGAAACAACCAGATGTTACATCTTAATATAGTATCAAAGTAAAAGAATGATATTTTTCTTTTCTGTTCACTGTGCGGCATGCTGTCGTTTTTTTTTCCTTTTCTTTTCTTTTCGGTAAACTTTTTCTCATTGCTTTTCTTCTACATCAGCAACGAAGTAAAAAGTTCCCTAATGAGCCACGACAAGCATTTTATCGAAGAATCAATCGCAATGACGACAGACATTTGTGAGAAAATGGCTCGTATACAAGAGGTATAGAATTAATAATACTATATTCCAAAATCTATTTGTTTTAATTATCCAGGTAATTCGTCAATTGAATATTCATCAATCTGATAATAGCTCGTAAGAAAAAATTTATTTGAAAAAAATAACTAAATTAGTTCATTATTCTTTGATAGTGATGTGACAAATCAATTTGGGTATATAAAATTCGGAAGATCTGACATTGATTCGACGACACGTTTGTCTCAATACATTCGATTAGCTCTTCAAACCGATGCGACAACCGTAGTTCAATTCATGAACGATGCTTGGCAATTACCGACACCAAATTTAATTATATCAGTGACAGGTGGAGGAAAACGATGTCACATGCCTGCTCATCTTCGCAAAACATTTCAACGTGGTTTAGTCGCCGCAGCTGCTACAACAAGTAATTCACTTGAAATTTTTCCTTAAAAAATCTCGCAATACTGTTGTTTTAGATGCATGGATAATCACAGCTGGTACCAATGCAGGTGTTGTTAAAGGAGTCGGAGAAGCTCTCAATAATTATCGATATAAAAATCGAAGAAACGGTCTCGATGTACCATGTATCGGCATCGGCACTTGGAAATATACAGCTGGAAACGATCAACTAGTACGACCAGTGGTCGATTCATCTGTAAATACAAATACAAGTCTACTGGATAAACCAGCGAAAGTTCGTCAGCATAATCGTTTGCAAATTGGATCAACAGTATTGGTAAGATGAGAGATGAAAAGATTTGAATTGATCGATGGTTTCGATAGGATGCAGCAGACGAAAACTATATTCGTACATATGCAGTTAAACAACCGGAAGACAAACGATGCGATCTGGAACCTAATCATACTCATTTTCTACTATTTGAAGGCAAATCATCCGTCAATGATACTGCACTTTTACAACGTGCCCGAATCGAAAAATATTCTCGTGAAATCAATACGACTGATGTTGCAGGAAAGACCTTGGTTCCTATTGTTATGATTCTAGTTGAAGGTGGTCCGTATTCAGTTCGTACAATTTGTCAAGCATTGAAATCAAATACACCCCTAGTTGTCGTCAAAGTAGAACGGACAAGTCGTATTTACATTTCTGATCATTTTCTTTAACTTCTGGTAGGGAACAGGTCGGGCTGCAGATCTTGTCGCAAATTTACATTTGTTTTTTTCCGAGCAAGAAACTTGCAACAAGCAAAAATCTGAATTGAATGCAATGTAAGTCTCCGATGTTCGAGAATCGTTCTTCACTTGTTCCTTTGTTTAGATTAGATGCAGCACGATCCGAGAACAACTCGTGGGTCGATGAGATCAAAGAGGATCTTTGTCAAGTATTATGCCAACAAAAGCAACTCGTTGTGATATTCGAATTCGAAAATCCACGACATCATGGACAACTGGAAGATGCGATTCTCGAAGCAGTTTTCAATGGTTTGTTGAAATTTGACTTCGAAGGATGAATCTTGACCGGAATGTTTGCCGTAGGTGCGAAATTTTCAGGAGATAATTTGGATGAACAAATGAAATTAGCGATGGTAAGATTGGTTGAAATATCAATGAGACAATTTCGAATCTTCTCATATAGGCATGGCAAAAGTTTGACTATGCGAAAAAGCATATTCTTACTGATGCAACGATATCCCGATGGACAGTGAGAATTTCGAGCTTGTTTTATCGATATTCATATTGATTATTCTCGAAGGAAAATGATCTTTACGAAGTACTCATCGAAGCTCTACATCGAAACTATGTTGATTTTGTTACATTACTAATGAATTATGGTACATCACTACGAAATTTAACTGTACATCATCTAGAACAATTATATGCATCGGCTGAAGTACGTATCTTTCGATCTGCACCGATTTTTCGTATCATTTTGCATCTATAGGTTGATTCCGGGTTGCCGGTTGACGACAAAATTAAAGGAGACATTCCCACAAGAGAAGAATACTATGCATGTTACTTTCCTCATGCAACTGAAGTAAGTGTGTTCTTTTTGGCTAATGGAAATCTGTTTTCAACCTAATACTTAGCTTCATCGAATCTCACCGAATAAGAATCAATCATTGGGACAAAATGCTACACGAGAATTTTTTCTCTGGGCCATTTTCGTCGATCGATTCGAACTCGCAAAGTATCTCTGTTCGAAAACTTGGGTACGACTTTTCTCAATATTTCAATCTTTGACATATGTCTTGTAGAATCCAATAACAAGTCCGTTGCTCGCTGCAACAATTTATCGATATGCATTGACGATGCCACTTCATACGGCAAAGAAACAACGCTATAGAAATAACGTCAAGTGAGTTAAATTTGATAACAGGATCGATGGGAAGGATTAAAGATTTGTAGTGAATTCGATAAATATGCAACCGCGATTATTGATCAATGTTTTCACACTGATGAAGATTTCGCTGTTGATCTGTTGAATCAACCAGCTGCGGCTTTCGATAATATTAAACCTCTTCAACTAGCTGAAGAAGCTAGTTGTCAAACATTTCTTGCATCGGAATGCGTTCAAAAATACCTCGATGAGACATGGTAATCATTCGAAATGGTTTCATCTCCAATCTTATCTTCAATTTTAGGTATGGACATATCAATTACAAACGCAGAGCCATCAACATGAGGGTTATTTGTTTTGTAGTGTTTTTCGTTATCAGAAACGAATCTTTTTCGTTTAGATTTTACTTTGCACATTCTTTCTTCCATTGCTTCCGTTATTTTCGGTGTTTTTACCATATGTAAGAAAACGTCAACAAATTCGGAATGAACTCAAACCTCAGATATTCGAAATGATGCCAGCATTACCTAAGTAGATTGATTCTTGAAGTTACGAATTCTTCATTGAACTTCTATTTCAGATTTGATCAAATTAATACACGAAATCCGATTGGATGGTCGAAAAGAATCGTCTATTTCTATCAAGCACCGATTGTTCGTTTTTTCTACAATGTCGTATGTTATCAGCGCTCTTCTCCATTTCCTCCTCGCTGATTCACTTTGTTTTTCAAAGATATTCTTTGCTCTTTTTCTCGGACTATTCAGCTATGTTCTTCTCATCGATTATTTACCATTGAATATGCATTCGAATAAGTATCTTTATATGAAAATTTTACCGATACCAATAACGGAAATCGTTCTACATATTTGCGCTTGGAGTTTAATCGGAGAAGAAATTTATCAAGTAAGATAAACGATTGATTTTCGAAGAGCAATCTCATATGTTTGGTTTTCAGTTCAGTCAATCGAATTTCTATGAATATATCTCGAATATATGGAATTTGATCGATATGTCGGCGATTGTTTTGTACTTGATCGCATTTGTAACACGATTCATCTTGAATGAAACATTCTTTATGATATCAAAGTAGGGTAAATATTGAACAGGAATCGATTGGTTGATTTTGTGTATTAGGATATTTTTGTGTTTGGATTTAATTCTTTGGTTTGTTCGAACTCTTTATCTATTTTCGGCATTTGAACGTCTTGGACCGAAATTATTAATGATTTTCAACACGGTTTGTTTGATAATTTTCTTTTCTCATCTGTATTTTTTCGCCTAAATAGATGCGTGATCTTTCGTTCTTTCTCTGTTTCATTCTTATCTTTCTGTGCGGTTTCTCTATTACATCATGGTCTTTGTTGTCTTCTGCGGGTCAGATCAACTGGATCTACAATGACGATGGTAAACTACTGAATATTACAATTTCTGTCGACAAACAGAATACATGGACATGGCAATTACTTCGAGATATTGCACAGTATGGTGTTTGGAAAGTCTTTGGCCAAGTCGATCCAATCGGTTCGTTATGACATTGTCTTTTCTTATTCGTCTTCGATGTTTTTATTGTGTAAAAGGTGGAACTGATTCGTATTCAAATATTGCTTTTATTCTGGCGATTATATTTGTTGCTATTGCCAATATATTGCTTTTAAATGTTCTCATTGCTCTTTTCAAGTAAGCACTAACGAAATGATTCAGCAAATTTTCAAGATCTTTTGTTGTAGTGTGACGATTCAGAACGTACAAGAGAAATCTCATGACTTATGGCGTTATCAACGTTTCTTGATCGTTAGTGAATTTAGCAAAAAACCTATCCTACCCGCTCCGCTTAATCTCCTCTACTATGCTTTCTGTATGATTCGATTTGTTATCATGCGGATCAATCAGAGTCGAAGTTATCAACGATCAAGTAAACCTGTCGACTTGTGTCCTTGACTTTTTATGTTTTCTCTTTAGTTACAACCGAACTATTGTTGGATGATGTGAAAACGATCGACGATGAAACTCAAGGACAATTCCGAAGTCAGTGAAAATGACGCTTTGATCATCTTTTGATGAATATTTCTTTCCAGTTAGCGATGAAATGCGACGAGAAACTGCGATAGCTGAAGATTACTGGCATGATGTTTTCAAACTAAACAAAAAAGACGACATCGAAACAACTTTACATAATCTCGAACAAAAAATTGATTTGCTTCAAGAAAAGAAAAAAACAACAACAGTAAAATCTCTCCGCTCGACATTTCATTGTTTTTTTTTCTTCTGTACAATAGACGAATCACCATCCATCAAAGAAACGATTGCATTATGGTAGCGACGTTTAAACCTTTAACGGTTGATACTCAATTATCAGATGAACTTCACCACGACTGGACGATCCGAATCGCGAGGGTATACTATACCAATTCTCAATACGATCTGCAAACAATCGAGCAAATTTCAATAAATTGCGAAATCAAAATTCACCTACGTTTTTCATACAGTTCATGCAAATCGATTTCGAACGAGCCTATTTTGTCATATTTGATCTTATCATCGTCGCAAACATCGACATGAAGAGTGTCTTGTCCGTGTAAATGATTTCTAAATAATTCAAAGTTTATTGAGTAGAAACGAGAAGAGTCTTCTTACAAGACGAGAATTTGATTCCATTGTGGATTCTTCGAGTTGTGCTTCACTCGAGTCTTCTGCTTGATATTTTTATCGTCGAGATAAATTTGAACGAACGGATCACTTTCGCTAAATAAATCTTTACGTTTTATATTTCGTCCTTCGACAACTGTCACTTGAATTTGAGCCATTTGATAGGTGAAATGAATACATACGCACACGTACTGTCCTTAAATACAGAGAATAAGAAGAGAAAGAAAACGAAAACGTATCATGTGCATACAAGAAACAAATATCAACAACGTCTATAATATGGGACAAAAGAAAACGAGAAAAATGGTTAAGCTTCGATGATTTCTATATGAGTCAAAATCAAAGAACGCCCTTTTTTGTTAATAAATCATGATTTTGTTTCAAGATCTGTTGTAAAAGAGAAGATATTTATTACTGTGTAGTTTGTGAGTTGATTGTTGCAAGAGCGAAAATAAGACATCTATTGTCTGACTTCTATTTGATTTGTTCGTTCTTTTGAAGAAAAGGTAAAACATGGAGAGATGTGTAGTTTTAACAGAAAAGTGATTCTCTTAAACAAAGTAAGATAGTTTGTTTTTGTTTGTGTAGTTTATTGAATTTAGAGTTTTTTTAATAGAAAAAATAAGAAGAAAAAGAGAAACATTGGAAAGTTCGATCGAACTAAATAAAGAAAAATATGAAACGTGTGTTTGCGAAGAATGAGAATTTACTTTGAATTGAGGATGATGGTGGCGTATTAGTCGTAATCGTGGATGTAGAAGTAGTCCTAGAAGTTGTGGAAGAACTCGTTGTTGTTGTCGTCGTTGTCGATCCAGAAGATGTCGTTGTTCTTGTTGAACTGACTGTAGTAGTTGTTGTTGTTGTTGTTGTTGTTGTTGTTGTTGTTGTTTTTGTGGATGTAGAAGTGCTCACTGTAGTGCTCGTCGTGGTTTGAGAAGTGGTGGGAGGAGTAGTTGTAGTAGTTGTCGATGTTGTCGTAGTTGAGGTCGTCGTAGTCTAGATTGAATGATGAACTTTTTCTGTAAGGATAGATTTAAGAGTATTCGCTTACGATAATTGTCGTTGTTGGAATGGTAGTCGTATTTATCGGTCCTAAGAAATATAGGACATCGTTTATGGAATAAGAATTTGATAGTGACTCATACCGCATTCGAGATTATTGATGATTATATCATCGATTGCGAGGTAGAATGGTAACGAATCGAGAGAAGCTCCTCGTTGGAATTCGAAATAGATCTTTGAAGACAAAAACAGCTAAAATACTTTTCGTTGTAACACGACACGAAATTACCGTTGGATTCTCATTATAGAGATAGAAATCCCTTCGAATCTCATGCCATCGATTTTCATGACGTTCAGAAGCCGATAGAATTGTAGTATTGGTATTCGACGTTGTATCTTCAACTATGACATTTATACTCGCATTCGATTTATTATCTGATAGATAGTAAAAAAACTCGATGCAATGTTCACCAGCTTCGAGAGTACGTCTTGGGTCAAGTCGATGCGTACGCGAACCGATTTCTTCGTTTTCAAATTTTTCGTATCCATATTCACCTTTTCGCAAGAAAAAAACGTTTTTTCCTGAATTCGATTTCCAATGAACAACTACCTTCACTGCAGTTCAGCTTGGGTCCTGTTGAGTTAAAACTTGGACATGTTGCTGGTAAATCCGGATCTGTCTTTGCACAGAAATACATTTGATAGGAATTCAATTCGTATGGAAAAAAACATTCGCCATCATCGTTGTACGTTCCTATGAAGAAAAAATTCGAGTGAATCGAAAGGAAAACTCGATTCATATTGTTTACCAATCGCTGTTGCATCCGAAGCGGGTTGTCGTGGTTCGTCACTTGTTTCATTGAGTAGAACATATGAAGCTGATGAAAGACCGGACAGACATTTTTCATCATAATCAAAATAACATTCGTACAGCCCCTTGGTACATAATGAGAGACTAAAAAGTAACAACACTCGGAGAGTTGTCATGTCGGTGAATGATCATGCTTGGAGAAGTACTGAATATTATATATAGAGTGATTGCTGATCTTACCAACCATAAAAGACTACTTGATATAGTGATAAAACTCATAAAAGAATATATTCTTTAGTTTTCAGATGCAGCGATTAGTTTTTCGTCGATTATCAACAATAAACAATAGTCAACGTGGTTGGAGAAAATATCTTAATCAATTGAAAGACCGTCCGGCATCTCATATCACCGCATTTGCTATTCTCCATGAAGTGACCGCCATTCTTCCATTTCCATTGATCTACTTTCCGTTGAAATGGCTACGCATCGGAGAGTACCTTCCTATTCCAATCGAATATATCCAAGGTGAAATTGTTTCTATCTGTACAACACAAAATCTCGTTTCGTTCTTTCAGAGGGAAACAAGAAGATCAATCGTGTGCGCACTCGGTATGGTTTCGAACCGCTAGATGAATCATCGATGGTCCTAGTCAATCTCTCAATGACATACGCAATCGTTAAACTTCTACTTCCTCTACGTATTGGATTAAGTTTAATGTTAACACCATGGCTAGCGTCAGTTATTACTCGTTCGTTGTCCGTTGTTCAACGTGTGAAAACAAAGCTTTTTAAATAAAATTTTCCTGTGATATTATATTAAAAGATTCGCAATAAAGGACTTTGCAGTGGATGTAACGTAATAGTTGTGCATTCTCATCCTTCATTACGTGTTTTTATTTCGAAAATAGATCTTAGTAAAACGAAATCTGATACGAATGGGAACGTGTCGAAGTAGATCCACAGCAGAATAACCTGCTTGAGTAGAGGGACAATACAATCGCTTTAACATCGAGAAAACTCTCCATAAATCCTCGAAGAAAAGTGTTAAATCTATAGGATTTTTTAGTTTCATCGATTGAAACAGTTGTTTCAAATTTTCGTTCAAAAGTATTTCATTGCAACTCCAAATTCTTAAATCTGTCGGATATGAAGCCCACCAATTTCAGACGGAATTTTCCCAACTGAATATCGACAATGAATGCTCTTAAGGTGTCTAAATCGAGACGAAGTATTTTCGCACATCAATAATCGATCTGATGTTAACATTGAAGAAAATTCACATACTCGGTTTCTCCGTTTGCCTTGAAAATGGAAAAGGTGAAGCTGGAGATATGTGAGCATTGTGTACCAAGAATTCAACAGTTGTTTGATATTCGGAAAGTTTTTATCAAGGTAATAATTCGTGAAAATCTTGTATTGAAATGACTGTAAAGCAACGAAATTCTTTACCAAACCTTGGAATTTATCGAAATTTGAAAATTCACTAGGAGCGTTGATGTAATTAACCTTCAAATAGATTCAAAAACGTCTCTAAATTCTGAAAATTCGGATAACCATCGCACAAATAAGTCAGAAAGTCTAACTTTCCAAATTCGGCGTTAGCTTCACTGCATTTGGTACGTGGCATTCATATCCCACTGTAATTAATAAATGTGTTATGTTAGCCATTGGAGGAATAGCTGACTAGTCAAGACCATTAACAAATCATGGCTCGTAGAAAATCAGTTTTCATAGGCTATGTGATGTACAAGAGGAAATCATTTGCAGATCAGTATAGCATGTACTTCGTTCATTTCGGATAGATGTCGTTGATGACAATGACGAAAATGCAATCATAGAATGGAGTAAAGCTTTTTTCTCTTTCCATCTAATGTGTTGTTCTTGATCTTGAAACAACTCACGGTAATAGAAGTATTGTTTTTTCAAAAAATTTCTCTCTCAATCAATGGCACATGATCGCGGACGCAACGTCATGGATGCTTGTCAAGACGGTTCAAAATTAAATTTTACTGAACTGTTGATGAAACAAATTGACGAGTGGGAGCGAAATTCAATCGAAACCATCCAGCGAACAGCACGCGAATGTCGAGAACAATTGATGAAATATACGACGAGCGTTATGTCGAACATCGAAACTAAACTGAATAATTTCAAACGAATTCGACATGGTGATGGATCCGATGGAGTTAGTTTAGAGTATTTAAGGCAACAGATCGATGGTGTTACGAAAGAATTTTGCTCTCCGTCAGTAGTTTCCATTCGAGAAGAGAGTTCACCAGAATTTATCAAGAAAATTTCCCTGCAGTTCGCCCAGAGTATTGAAAGAACGAAAAAATTGTATTCTGATCAAAAGTATTTCGTTTAGGAATCATACCGGATAAGTGGAAAGAGAATGGAAAGACGATCACTATACGAGATGAACAAGGCAGCGGACTTCAACAACTCGACCGTCCTCAAGGAATATGCATTGATAAAAACAAAAATATATACATTGCTGACACGTGGAATCATCGTATACTTGCACGAAAATTGAATAAAAATGATTGGAAAGTCGTTGCCGGTGGCAATGGAAAAGGTCCAGAAATTGATCAATTAGACAAACCAGTAGATGTGATTGTTGATGAAGAGAACAGTTCATTGATTATTGCTGATACAGGAAACAGACGAGTACTTCGATGGCCTTTAGATCAGGGCGAAGGAATCAGTCGATTGATTTCTTGGTGGAATCAAGATGAAGAGGAAATTCTTATCGAGGACATCAACTGTTGGGGTTTAGCATTGGATAAACACGGGTTCCTTTATGTTTCAGATTTTGTGAACAATGAAGTGAGAAAATGGAAAATTGGCGAAGAGAAAAGTGAATTAGTAGCCGGAGGTAATGGTGAAGGAAATCAACTGAATCAATTCAATTGTCCTACTTATATCTATGTGGATGATGAACAATCAGTTTATATTTCCGATAATGAGAACAATCGCATCATGAAATGGTTGAAAGGTGCGAAGGAAGGTGTGCTTGTCGCTGGTGGAAACGGGGAAGGAAGTAATCTGAATCAACTTAATGGTCCTGAGGGACTGATCGTAGACCGATTTGGTCAAATTTACGTTGCGGATCATGGGAATCATCGAATTAGCCGTTGGCGTGAAGGTCAGGTACAAGGTGAAACTATTGTTGGTGGAAATGGCGCAGGAGAGAAATCGGATCAGTTAAGTTGTCCTATGGATATATCGTTCGATGCCGAAGGAAATCTGTACGTCACTGACTCGGTAAATCGTCGAATACAAAGATTTACTTTAATTCGTGACGAACAATGTTAGCTTTTTTTGTTAGAATTGAAATAAATGAGGAAGAAGATGATCATAGATATTGTTTCAAAGTTTTATTTGTGCGCATTCAAGCTGACGGCGTGGACATGGATAAATAATAATCTTCTATCAAAGGAAGATAAAGTACCACGGGAAATAATACTGCAGCAGTCAAATGTGGTATTACCAAGTGAAATTATGAAGAAGACGTGCAAGATCTGGCAATTCGATCAATAGTTGTTGTTGAATATCGAGCCGATCAGCCAAACATCGATGCGTGCTGTTTACCTATGCAAAGATTAAAAAAAATGATCTTCCAATCGTTTACACCTACAAGATTTGATCGAAATGACCCTAATATGTCCCAATGTTCGGCTTGCCTTCTTGTGCTATTACCTTTCAAACTGACGTCAGACTGAAGAATGACCATTGTCAATGGCTCGGTTTTTAGTGTACAAAACAATCCGATCTATTCAAGAACTTGTTTAGATATTGAACTTCTGTACAACAGTTACTCTTTGACGATATATTGAGTATTCCTGGCTTGTTTTCTTTTAGCATAACAAACAATATCGCACAGAACACTACAATCAGTTGTATAAGTAAAGATCATGGTATTTTCAATAGTTCCATCGAAGCAATTGCATACATATGTTTTCATAGACTAATCTTTGCGAATGTTTCATTTTTATAAACGAACAAATAACAACTGAAATGCCAGCCGATTTCGCTCATGCTCGGCCAGGTCAGCATATAATTAGATAATACAAAAGAAAACAAGTGTTCCATATTTTTGCTATTATTACGCGATCTTTCTAACGCAAAATGTTCCAGTGTAACTATCAAAATAGATCTCCGTCTCGGTACTTTATTTCAAATTAAATCAAATCTCTGAATTCGATTATTTCCCACATCTGCGACATATAGATTTCCTTCAGTATCAAATGCTAAATCTTTAGAATAAGCGAACTGATTTGATTCTGTTCCGCTTCCATTTCCACCAACAATTATTTCACCTTGTCGACTCCCTTCGCTCCAACGTACTATTCGATTATTTCCTTCGTCAGCAACATAAATTTGGCCAAAACGATCAACAATTATTCCCATAGGACGAGCTAATTGATCCAGATCATTTCCCCAATTGTCTCCACCTACAACAACAATTCCTTCATCAACGCCTTTCCTCCATTTCATTACACGATGTGTCTGTTGGTCTGTTACATACACTGCTTGTTCATCGTCAACAAAAACAAACCCGGGACTCTTGAATTGGTTAAGATTGTCTCCATATCCATGTCCCCCAGCGACTACTACTCCTTCTTCTCCAATTTCTTCTGCTATTTTCCATCTTCTAACTTCACTCTTCCTGAGATTAGGAACATAAAGATATCCGTATTTATCTACTGCTAAACCAAAACAATCAACATTTTGAATGATAGTTTTGTGTAGAGTTCCACTGAACCATCGAACCACTCGTTTGTTTCCAGAGTCGCAAATGATCAAAGAATTATTATATTGATCTACAATCACATATGATGGTTCATTCAATTGATTAGTTCCGTTTCCTTTCCCGTTCCCACCTGCAACAACAACTCCTTCGTTTTTATCTAGTTTCCATCGTACAATTCGATGATTCTTAAAATCAGCAATGAATATATCATTATTTTGGTCAATAAAGATTCCGGAAGGATAAGCGAGTTCATTTAGTTCTTCTCCGCTTCCATTTCCTCCAGCAACAGTCGTTGCATTCCATTTCCATTTCGTGAGTTTTCTTTCTATATAGAAGAAGAAAACCTGCTTCGCCTTTAAGAGTATTTCAAAACTGAATCAGAAAAAAAAGACTCTATTCTATAGCATACCAGTGGTGGTCGTTGTTATCTCCGTTGGTGTAATATTCGAGCTCAACAGTTCTTCTGTAACGTTCATTAAAGAAGACTCATCAATTGGTGAATTGCGAGTGAGAATAACAATGCATACAATTGCTGCACATAATACGGAAATACACGTGACTAGAATAGCCGCGAAAGTAAAAGGATACTTTGTGATTATTGTCACAAGTTTCGAAGGACCACCAGACTTGACTACTACAGTTGAATTTGATTGCGACTGAGAGGATTCGTTTTGAATGTTACACGAAGGAGCAGAATTGCTATCATAGATATTCGGTGGTACAGCTTTCGAAAATTTTATTTGCCGAGTAGTCATTATTCGCACGTTCTCTAAACGTCATCTGCTTTATAAGAGGTAGATAAAATGAGAGAGCAAGGCACGTTTATAGAGAACAGAAGCGATAGTTGTTGAGAATAACCATTATTATGGAAAGATAATGTGTAACAAAGGATCGATGATTCACTAGTACACTCGAGTGCAGAACTTCTGAGAATTACATGAAGTTGTAAATGATCTGTTTATGTTAATAAATGCGTGAAATAGTAATGCTTTTGACAGTGATTTGTCAAGCGATCGACCAGAAGAGAGAAATGAGTTTTAATACGAGAGAAAAGAAAAATATTCAACAAACTCGTAATCTATCAGATCCCCAATTCTTGCTTGAATCTAAGTAGTAATAAGTAGCGCTATAAATACTTAGCGTATAAGCAGGTGAAAAGGCAAAAGGCTTGTTTGTGGTCGGGCGACCATTCGGTGTGATATTTTTCGAACATAGTTCTTCGATTTCAGTTCACGTAAGCCAAAGATGAGAGATTGATGTTGAAATATAAAATGATTGTCGATGAAATACGTGTAGAGACGATCGTCCGTTAGATCTCTTGATGGGCACAACACAGAATATCCATCTATATCTCGATTTGTGCTGTCTAAACGACATGGTTCATCAAATTTATACATAAACAAATACTCGCGAATTGTATTCAGAGGACGTATTTCGAAATGCAGTGACATTGTCATGTGACTGTTGGTATTCAAGTCGCTTATATTGAGAAACTATAAATAAAAGGATTCAACAGTACTGATCAAACTGTCATTTTGTATAATCATTGGTAGTTTAACAAGATTTGGATCAGATGAGTTGGCAATGAAAGAGAGATCATTTGCGACTTCATCGAGTACGGGTAATGACATTGATCTTGAAAAATCTGTTCTCGGTTGAAGTGAGAGAGTACCACGCGACGCAAGTAGTTGCATGATCGATTATACCATTGAAGACAACATATAAGAACAAAACTATCAATTTGCTGTATCATGAGCGAAAAAATCGTCAATCTTTCCAATGAAACGACGATTGATGTACGATTTAGTGTAATACTCTGTCTACCGTTCAAATGAAGATTTAGCAGCCCAGTGGCCGACGAAAGTATTTCCATCATTTGTGCATCTATAATCTTTGCCTACAAAATTATTTCATGTAAAGCTACTGAAATCTCTCCGAGGACACTTACCGCTAACTTGTTGATGGTGGTCGACTGTCTCTGTAGACCCGTCCATATCCGATTCATCAGCAGCGCCAATTCTATCCAAATCTAAAACTGGCGATCGTTACTGTACTGGGCTATTGATTGCCTGAAAGTCCAGACAGCATAGGAATTCCCATCGGAAAAAGGTTACCATGAGAGCGTTACCAACACATTGATTAATCTATTTGACAGCATAGACAACATCTTCAAACATGGTCCTTGTTACCATAGTTTGCAAAGCCAATGACAATTGATGGTATTTCCTCGAGGAAAACAACTAATCAACAAAGATTAGTAACTCACTTAAGAAGAAAATCTGAGATACCGAAGCTGATCGGGTTAGTTGATTTGTTGCTTTAGTCAGCTGTGCCAAAGTAGACGCCTGAAGGTTGATGCTCGCAACATCCGCCATCGAGAGATTGTTCATAAATGTAAAAATTTCATCACGAACATTGCCTATTTTATTCGGTTTCTCTTTGTAGTCTTTGACGAAAAAGTATTCACCGACGTTGCCAGGTTGAACTGCCGTCTCTTGTCATTTAGTGAAGATACGAGCAAAGTCGAAGGAGAAAAGCCATCTACAAACAAATGAGCAGATAAGTGACTTAGTGTTCTATTTAATTGCAATCATCGTTTCTCGATTATGTTCATTCATCTCGTTCAATTCCTGTGATAAATCGATGTCAATAAAGATTCCATGAGGATAGTCAGTAACATTTATGCCAGCTACACTGCTAGTTGAATTTGCTGTCCGTTTGGCAAAGCGAAGTTTCTGACCATCTTCGACATAAACGTCACCGTTGAGTCTTATAAATAGAGCATACGGACTAGTTCGATTGCCACGTATAGTTTTCTCCGGACTCGAGTCATCGTTCAGCCACATCTGAATACGGTTATGTTCGATTCGCGACATAAATAGGATTTTAATGATTGATGAAAGTGTCACGTGGTGATTGTTCATTCGTGTTCTTTGTTGAAAATATAATTCCTTGTAGATTCCAAGTCACATTCGGACATATCTTTGGCCGATTCATTGCTGATCCTATCAATATCGAATGTTCACCACGACGTTGAGTGAATACAGTTTTTGCTAATCGCTCTGATTCGTATAACTGAGTTGAAACTGACCTAAAGTAAATGGTACAATCCGTGCGATTCCCAACCATAGTATCAAGATGCGAAGCATTACTATTTTCGTGAATTTATCTGATAGAATGACAGGAATATCAAGTCTTACACAGGCTAAGATAATTACTATTCTGAATTTTATTATTCCAGTATACTGAATAATTACTTGTGAATCATGACAAAGAACATAATACTAGATTGCAAATGTCATAAAACGTGTTAAACAAGAATCAACAAGAGCATAATAATCGCACACGTCGCGCAATAATGGTTTTGTATTTCAATCAATTTAGTAAAACTTTCCTTCCATTGTTGTTCTTATATCTTAAACCTTCGATGATTGATAGCGATGGCTATAAGAGAACACTAGATTGCTGGATGTCATTCAAACGCATTTAGTATCAAAGTTGGAAAAGCCAAGTTGAGTAATATCAGTACCATAAGATTTTATTTACCATTGAAGATGACTATAGTGGCTTTGTATTTGCAGAACAAATAAACTCAGATACAGCATAAGGAAAACTTCGGCGTGCAAATGACGACATAGATCAGTTGCTGCAAGGAACGATGCCACATATAACACGTCTTGATTAAAATAATAACAGGATGTAATGGTCTAATGAATACTCTGGTAAGCTTGTGACATTTTTCAGTTTTATCAGTGTTATTGAATAAAATCATCGATACAATTATGTCTCATATATAAAACAGGTGAATTAGGAAGAATTCTACAATGGTTCTGTTCTAAATAAAGAACTGGAAGCCAGAGTAGTTAATTATTAAAACTATAATTCTCTGAGCCAGTCAAGTGTATTCGATGTATTTTCTCTTTAAGATCCCACAAGCCATCATTCGCTATAGTTTTCCTATTCTCTCACATTAGGCAACGTTGGCAATCTCTTCATTATCTTTATACCGCGGTACCAATATATATGCTTTCTATCAACCACCCGATCCATTCACTCAGTCGCTTTTTCTTTGTCGACTTCGTGGTTTTCTACTACAAAGTTCATCGTCTCTGTACAAGACAATGATTTCGCTTGGATGTATCGATCGATTTGCACTGACATCATCTCGAGTTCGTATACGTGAATTCAGTAAACCACATGTTGCACTCAAAGTCATCTTCGGGATGACACTCTTGTGCATGATCATCTCCATACATCTGCCAATCTTTGAAGTCATTGACAACAATCGATGCATAATCGTCGGAACGTATGCATTGGTTTTTAGTATTTATCAGATCTGTAGTTTTGGGCTGCTTTTTCCAGCTACTCAGATATGTTTCTGTTTGCTGATCGTGAAGAACTTGAGAAGCATCCGTAATCGTGTTCAACTAATAGCAGAAGTGAATAACATGTCACAGAACGGTCTATCGAAGCGCGACACTACTTTGATTAAACTTGTGTTGGCTGAAATTATCGTCGGTGTGATCCTGACAACCCTGTACCCATTGGTAAGTCTATACACCACGCTGTCGAGCAACGTGATGAACAAAAGTGCAGACCGCATTGCAATCGAGTTATTTATCTCTTTTTTTCTCCATGATTGTTCTACATTACCTAAATTACTGTGTTACTTTTTACGTTTATTGTGTCGCATCGAAACCTTTTCGAGAATCATTGAAAAAGTCTGTTTTGAAAATCATCAAACGAGGGGACCCATCATAGGTAAATACAATACCTCTGTCAAATATCGTAAGAGAAGAGTGCAAAATTGGTACTATTAGCGTACATTATCCTATAGTGGATTATGCAAATTGATTAGGACTGATTTTCTGTACGAAAATAACATTGTTCATTACAAAAATATTCTATCATCCTACTAGATGTTGCCATTAAATCGAGAAGAATAATCTTTGATACACATCGTTTTTCAAATAGGTAATCATCGCGTTGCGATGTTGTGTGGATAAGTGTAGCCCTTTGTCTTCTCCCAATTTATCTAACTGAAACTGTCGTTATGAGTATTTATGACGTATAAGATGATAGGAGTGTTTATTTGAAAAAAATAGTGTCTTCGTATTTGTAGAAGAAAAGAAAAGAGGAGGGCTTTAAACGTTTTTAATATATTGTTGAAGAAAGTAGTTGTAATTAATCGATCCATCCAATTTGGTATCCAATTGTGAAGCGATTGTATAAAACTCTTCATCACTCAGCGAGCATTGATATTGATTGAGGATATCTTTGAATGTTTTCAATGGAACCGATCCACTATTGGTTTTATCTTGTTGTTTGAATGATCGACGCAAGGGTTTATATGAATCCGATAACTAAGTATTATTCAAATCAAAGAGATAAAAACGAAAAGAACTAATTCTTTACTTTTCTTCGAAGTTTAATGCAAACTTGAGTGTATACCAATCGATCAGACGCTCCTGTTCGAGGTGTTTCTTCATCAATCGTTTGTAAAAGATTTTTATTCGGTTCATCCATAAGATTCGATGATTCCGACAATGGTGCATAGCATTTCAAAAATCGCATATAGTTCATTCTTACAAACAGAACAATCGAAAATATTGAAAGAAAATGTTCCATTTACCTTGGATCGTGTTGCGTGTGCAATTTCGATTTGATCAAATAGAGATCTTCTTGATTAACCGCTGGACAGAGTTCACTTAGAACGTCGTCGAATTCCTCCGGTTGAACGTAACCTGTTCGGTACGGATCTAACTCGGCGAATTCTCGTCGTAAACGATCCCAATTCGTTCGAATCACGTTTCTTGCGTGAGTGTGAACAAGAATGTTTTCTCCGTAGAGTTTGTTCGATGTTAAAATGAAATCTGCATCGCCTCGTTTCGGCGGGTGGTTTCGCGCATTCGGATAGTGTGCTGATTGTTTAGAATAACCAAATTCACGGAGAAATTGGTAAAAATCTAGTGTTCCATCGCGTTTTAAATGGCAACGTTCCCAAATTAAGTCTACTTCATCACGTGTTATCGCCGGTTCGAGATAAAGTCTAAAGATTAATTTAAATTTAAGAAAAAAGTTATAGAAGGATAACAAACCGTCGAAATAAGTTATAGAGAAGGTCCGGAGTTAATTCACCATAGGAACCACGATCGATTTTTCGGAATTCATCTTCAATGTCCTTCGAACGATTTCGAATTAAATTTTTCAAGAAGTCGCTGAGCTAAAAAGAACAGGTGAAAACGATTGCAGTGAAGAAAGGAGAATTACTTCATCGATTGTTCTTGTTCTTTCTGGTTCATAAGGCTTCTGAGTTAATTCTTTCGGGTTGACTTTTTCTCGCACGTTTGTCGAGACCATAAATTCATATTTTGGATTCCTAAAACAAAATTTTCATGGCTGAAAATCAAGGAAAACCGACCGACTTTGGTTGCCGTTGCTTTCCTTCCTGTAAATATGACGTTCTTTCAAGAATTTGCTTCAAATAATCCCGATATTTCACTCGACCATAGTCATCCATTGGCATTTTCTTGATTATTTCGTGATATTCATCCGGTCTCAATGTGTATTCAATCAGATCTTCAATTATCGATCGAACTGTGTTCACTGTAACGAACCCACTTTGTGTACCATCAGCTCGATTTAATAAGTTTTCCACTCGTTCGTAATTCATCGCAATCGACGTATCGATTTGTCGTTCTAATGCTGCCTGACGAGTTTCTTCGATATGCACTGGATTATCCGCATTGATTCGTCGCTTTGTCGGATCGCTTTTTTGCTTGAATGTGTTGATAACTTCTTGATAAGGTATGCCATCGTTGGTCAATGCTAAGTCCACATTTAATTTCTTGAGAAAATATTCTAAGAGTGGCGTTTCTAAGTCTAAACCAAACCGTTTCAGTTGTTCGAGAAATCGTTCGCGTGGTAACTGTAAATCAAGAAGATTATGCAGGGAAATAGAATGATTTTAACTCACTGATCCCGTTTGTTTTGCATCCAAACGCTCCAGTGCATGTTCGAGTTCAGCATAACCATGTGGAAATTTACGATTCAACCATTGTTGTACTTGATTTTCATCGAGAACACCTCGTGTCGCTAAACAGTCACAAATGAGATCGTAAAAAAAGATTTGTTTTCTTTTACAATGAAGCCGAGGTGTTTTTAATTCCGAATCACTATGAGATGTTTGGATTGTGCGCAATTGAGGAGAACGTGGCTTTAATATGACAGCCTCTCGATGAGATGTGACACCGTCTTCAATCGATTCATCGAATAAAACTTTGAGAAATTTGTCCGAACTAATCGCTCGGAATTCTTCCGTATCGAATCTACACAAACACAGAGACTTATGGCGAGAAATCTTTTTAAAACACTTACTTATCCCACAATTTATCAAATTCTGTGTCTTTCATTTTATAACCCATATCTTCGAGTGCATCGTGAAAGTGAACTTTGAAGATTCGCGTTGGTTTTCCACCACCTAATGCTGGACAAAA